ACACACACACACACACACACACACACACACACACACACACACACACACACACACACACACACACACAGAAAGAAAAACAAGTGTGGCGGTGTATATTTCCACGTTCTAGCGCTAGATTCATTCGATTTTGCTCATCATATCGATGGAAGTACCATGAGGCCAGCCATGACGTTGGAGACTTACCTTTTCTCTGTGTGTGTGTGTGTGTGTGTGTGTGTGTGTGTGTGTGTGTGTGTGTGTGTGTGTGTGTCTGACCACCGCTGCCGAATTGCCCGAAGAAGAAGTAGAAGAAGAAGAAGAAGAAGAAGTAAAAAAAAAGCAATTACCTTGGCAAAATTTAGTAAAACGGTTTTCACCTTTTAGCAGTAGCGGATGCAGTACTCAGGGTTCGATCCCTAGACCTCACCCTACCTATGTACAGTACCTGTGTAGACCCCGAGAATTGAACATGTGACCTGTGTATTCGTAGACTGTTGGTAGGCATGTCGTAGGTCCATAGGCAGCAGGGGTTCGATCTGTAGGTCTATAGCGTAGAAGTCTTAGTGAGTTCCGGAAGCTTAGCTGTAGACCTTCTAGAAGGTAGGCAACTGGGCAAGTGGGCAAGTGGTCAAGTGGCGAGGCAAGTGGTGGACTAAACCGCAATGCAACAGCAGTACAACGTCGGTAGGATAGCGGTGAGTCCACAGTCAGTCACCGGAAGGTCCAGTCAGTCCCAGTCCGGTCCAGCAAGTACCACGGGGGGACTGTGAGCACCAAGGGCCGATGGCTAAGAGCAGACGAACGAGTTTCTGAAGTATAAATGAAGAGGCAGCGCCCAGCCATTCATTCATTCCTGCGTGAGCCATGCGGGAGCGCTGCCATAGCGACTTGTGCAAGGAGGTCTGCAGATGAGCCTGGAGGACGCAGTGGGCAAGAGAGAGGGAGTTAGCATAGCGATAGGTTAGATGCAGCGATAGCTGCCATAGCTGTAGTTAGTAGCAAGTGTGTGTGTGTGTGTTCGAGTGTTAGAGTGACGTGTGTGGGATATCCAGAGTGATCCAGTGTATGTGAACAGTGAGATGTTTGGGCGCTGAAGTCGCCATAGCCAATTGAGAGTGAACTCGTATCTGAAAGCCATATCTCTGAGTTTTGAGTGGGCGCATGTCGCCAGTATGCTGCGTTGCTGTTTACATGCATGAAAAGTGTGTTTGAGAACGAGTCTGATTGCATTGGTATCGRAGCTGGTACCCGCTATTCCATGCGAGCCGTCGTATGCAGGGCCTGATGCGCCATAGCCGAGGTGGCCGCCGAAGGTGATAGTCCGCCATAGCGGACCTGAGGTTGGGGAAGCCGCCGCGCACCTGCAAGAAAACCACGACGAAGAAGAAGACCGAGAGAGAGAGAGAGAGAGAGAGAGAGAGAGAGATGAGCGATATAAGATTGGGTTACACGTACCTGTTGCGCTGAAGATACCGCTACGGAGAGAGAGAGAGAGAGAGAGAGAGAG